TATTTAAACTGGCTACCCCATCATTGAAATAAATTATGCTTTGTAGTTTTTATATTACCTAAAAATATATTTTCCTCAAATCACTGGGTGGCCAAAGATTAATTTATGGTGGTCATGGCCACCATTGGCCACCCCCTGGCTCCACAATTGCACCTGGTGGTGGATAAAATTGCTCCCTCAACTCGACATGATCGTCACTCTGCGTTGACTTGGACAAAAAAACAAACCAACTAAAAAAACTCCCTTTCTTCTTCTCCACAGTGTAACTCCTAACCACTTGAATATATTCAGCAAAAAAAACATTAAGGTTTACTTACATTCTCTGTTCAATGCCAGTCCAGAAAAACACTCATCTTGAAAACAACAAACATTCACTATAGACAAATCTTTCAGCGATGTGGGAAAATGGACATACCGCTCGTTCATCTCAGAGTTCGTTATAGTTTGCTGAAAATGTGTAACTAAAAATAGAAAAAAAAGATGTATTCCCGACTATTAGTTTGTTTACAAAAACTCAAGGAAACGAATGCCTCAGTTCAAACTGATGCTTCAGAGCATTTAACTGACTCCAATTATGTTTGCAAAGTTTGTGTTTAATAATGCTAGAACATGACAGCTTTTATCCTGTTGCCTTATTCTAATTTATATGTTTGCCTAAATCAGATCTAGATCAAAGAACGCAAACTAGACATGGAAGTGCAGCAGTGTGGGGTTTTTTTTTTTTTGGTCCTGCTTGAAGCAGCTAATGATCGCTGCAGCTCAGTAACTGCTCAGATCTCTGGCTCCGTGGTGTGATTATGACCCTTCATCTCTGCCATGGTGAACAGCCTGTTAGACACACACACCAATAAAGGCTTGCTGTCAGCCACGATGCACAACCGTCTTCTCAACACAGAGACCAGGCTGCCCGAGTCCAGATCAGCCGAAAGAGGACGTATAGATGGATGGTCTGTGGAACAAGGACAGAGAAATGCTTCGTTTAATCTGCAAGAATGTTTTAAATGCGAACTACAAGAACAGAAGTTTGTGGGATGATTCTGCAGTCGTCTAAACCTTGAGCAAGACACCAGAATGCTTGAACTACTAGAACTTGAACTCCTTCACTTGAGGCAAAGACACACTCAAAACCCAAAGGGAGAAGTTTACCCTTTTCCATTTGGAAGCCATGACTTCAGATTTAGAGATCATCAGCCCAGACACTTCGCTCTCGTCTGTGAACCGTTGGTGCACGCTGAAGGTCCTGGGTTTAAGAGGACAACAGAACCCCTATCAACAGACCTTGACCGTATCTAGAATTCCTGTCCATGGACATCACAAACAGGATCAAGCAAGTCCAATGGGGCAACAAACAGATCTTCAATGGAACTCCATCAACACAATAGAATGCCTCGGACAACACAATCTTGAGCCTTCTCCAGGACCACACAACAACGGGACTGGACTAACTCCAAGAACCCCCTCAGCACCTCTGCAAGGGTAGAAGTCTGGTCCAGTAGTCCACAACCTGCTCCTCCGATCATTGAACTCTTCACTCCAACACTTCATAGAGTCAACTTTTCCACGGAGACTGAGGGGCGCGATGCCACAAGAGTTGGAACACACATTCCAATCCCCGTTCTTAAAAACACTTAGCAAATTGTTTATATTTGTATTGCTCAAATGTGAACAGCTGAAACAAAGTTGAGCACAACATTGGTTAAACAGGTCTGTTCTCTAATTACAAAAAATAATTTGACGGATGGATGGATGGATGGATGGATAAACTGATGGATGAATGAATGGATGGATGATTGATAAACAGTTGGATGAATGGATGGATTGATGGATGCATGGATAAACTGATGGATGGATGGGGTGGGTGGATGATGGATGTAGGATGGATAAACTGATGGATGGATGGATGGTTGGTTGGTTGGATGGATGTTTGCTAGTTAAATAGATGGATGAATGATGGATAGCTGGATGATGAATGGATGGATGGATGGATAAACAGATGGATGAATGGTTAAACTGATGGATGGATGGATGGATGGATGGATGGATGGATGGATGGATGATTGGATGGATGGATAAATGGATGGATGGCTGATTGGATGTTGGATGGATGGTTGCTGGGTGGTTAAATGGATGGATGGGTGGATGGATGGCTGAAGGATGGATAATTGGGTAGATGGATAAACAGATGGATGGATGGATGGATGGATGGATGGATGAAGGATGGATAATTGGATGGATGGATGGATGGATAAACTGATGGATGGCTGGTTGGATGGATAAACAGATGGATGAAGGATGGATTGATTAAATGATTGGTTATATGGATAGTTGCTTGGATGGTTAGATGGATGGTTGGATGGTTTGATAGATGAATGGATTGTTTTAATGGATGGATGATGGATGAATGGATGGTTGGATGGTTTGATAGCTGGTTAGATGATTGGTTGGATGGATCTTAGATGGATAGATGGATGGCTGGATGGATGGATGATTGATGGACGGACGATTGATGGACGGATAAACTGATGGCTGGATGATTGGATGGATGGATGATTGGATGTTGGATGGATGGTTGTTGGATGGGTGGTTAAATGGATGGATGGGTGGATGGATGGCTGAAGGATGGATAATTGGGTAGATGGATAATCTGATTGATGGATGGATGGACGGATGTTGGATGGTTAAATGGATGGATGAAGGATGGATTGATTAGATGATTGGTTGGATGGATGGATGGATGGATGGATGGATGGATGGATGGATGGATGGAGTGAACATGAGCCTCACATCCATCCTCTGTATGGTTAAAAAATGTGTTAATTACGTGCAAATATTGTAGTTTTTTTCTTGTGTGCACCTGTGAGTTTGTTTTTGAGTGTGTGTCTGTTGTGGTTACATTTTATCATGTTTTGGATCATGTGTGCACATTTGTGTGTTTGTGTGTGTTTGTGCATGTTCGTGTGTTCGTGTGTGTGTTTGTGTGGGAGCTCCTGTCTTATTGCCATGGTCTCCTTACGCAAATGCTTATGCAACCACACTGCCTGGTGGCTGATCTCCTCTTTGCTCTGTGCGTGCATGTGTGCATGCATGTGTGCATGCATGTGTGCGTGCGTGTGCGTGCGTGTGTGTGTTCAGCCCTTTCTTGTCATTCCCAGCCAAAGACGGTCTCTGAAACGGAGCGAGTCGCGGCTCTCTTTGAAGAGACAGAGAGGATTAGCGGTTAATTCCGGTCCCTTTTTTTCAGAAACATCATTAGTTTAACTTCAATAAGCTCTAATCTGATCTGTCGCCGTGACGACACCGACAGATGCACGGGACGACCACAGCTCCGTTTGCCCTTGTGAATTCTCCTTTTTCATCCCTCGTCTGTTTTATCACTCGTACATTCGCTCTGTTGTTTAAAGGTTTCATTTCAAGCGTGCTGATTGGAGAAAGATTATTTTTAAGTTGCGCTTCCACAAAACTGGTTTGTTGTTTTGTTGACAAGCTGTTATTTACAAACCTGCAGTTGGAAGGTGAAGGCTTTGCCTGTGTTCACGTCTGTTAGCAGAATATCTCAAGAACAAATGGAGGGATTTTATTGAGACTTGCAGAAAGCAATCACTGGAAGTAACATCTAAAACTGATTAACGTTTGAAGTCAATCCGTTTCAAAACGGCTGCTGCAGCCAACTCAGTTTAAAAACATAAACATTAATATAAATCAGTCAATTTTCCATAAGTTTAGAAAGTATTTGATGTGGTAGTAGCTGAGACTAATTGCCAACAAATATTTAGAGCAGTAACAGACTGTACAAGATTTTGTTTAAATTTTTGCCTTTAACTATTTGCTCTCGATCCTGTCTGTTAGCAAAATATCTCATGAACCATTGGACGGATTTTAATGAAACTTTCCGAAAAACTTTAATAAATGTTGCTCTACAACTCTTTAACTTTCCAAGCGGACCAGGTTTAAGGTGATCGCCACAGAAAACGGACTTTAGAAAACACAAACGTGTCAGTCATTCAGTCAGTTTTACAGATGCTGCGCTAAAATTTGGTGTCGCCTTACTTAAGAGTCGGTCACAACACATAATCCATGCACAGCATCGTTGCTCAAAGCATTACTGTTGAAGTCGACCTTTGTCTGTTAGCAAAATATCTCATCAACCAATGGACGGATTTGAACGAAACTTTCAGAAAGGAATCACTGGGTGTGCCTTTAAAACCCGTTTACTTACCGGGTTAATCTAATTTAAGATGCATGCCACAGCTATGGCATCTGATTCACAGATAACGGAGAAGTTTCCCTCCAGCAGAGGGAGCCAAGCGTTCGTCTGCAAGGAGACGACTTACAGTATTCCTCACCTGCCTGAACGGCGTCATGGCCACATCTGGACAAGTTATTTCATGCGGCCCACGGTCATAAAACATAAGTATTGAAAGAATCTGCCAGAGGGGAGAAACGTGCACACCGAAGTGTTTTTCTCTGCTCTAATGTGAGTCGTGTTCTGGTCCATACACTTTGATTATAAATGTATATTTTAATGCAGCTTTATGACTTCTGTCGCCGAACTTGAAGAGTTTCAGTCCAGCGATAGAAGAAGAAGAAAACACCAAGAATGGACAGAAGTGAATTCTTCTACACGGAGGAGTTTGTTTTTCCCAACTCTTGACCCCGCTACCCCCACACACACCTTGGCCTTTGACGATACACTCCCACGTTGAGACAATGTGTGTGTGTGTGTGTGTGTTTGCTGCAGGGTTTCTGGTGGGGAGCTGTTCGACCGGATCGTGGAAAAGGGATTTTACACGGAGAAGGATGCGAGCACGCTGATCCGGCAAGTCCTGGATGCTGTGAACTACCTGCACAAGATGGGCATCGTACACCGAGACCTGAAGGTTAGACGCACACAGTGCCTGCTTCCTCAACACACACACACACACAGTTTGTGTTAAATCCACCCGAGTGGTTTGCTCCCACTTGACAGCCAGTGATGTATTGCTGCAGTGAGGGCAGGAGCCTGACACATGCAGTGCATTATGGGTCAACGTGGCGTCTGCCAGCTGTTGGAGTCAAGTTTATAAATCAGAAGCATTTAAACACGAAAGAAAATAATGTGTTTCTGTAGTTGTTTTAAATACAATGGCAATAAACTGCAACTCGTAATAAGAGAAAAATGCCACTTTTCTTTATTTCTCTTGCAGCCTGAGAACTTGTTGTATTTTAATCCTCAAGATGAATCTAAGATCATGATCAGCGACTTTGGTCTGTCCAAGATGGAGGGCAGTGGCGATGTCATGTCTACAGCCTGCGGCACGCCGGGATACGTGGGTAAGCCGCTCGCGCCTCTAGGTGGGGCTTTAGGTGTTTTCTTGTTGATGGAAGCTGCGTTGCATAGTTTACTTTTTGAAGCGTCAATGTGTGTTATTTCTAAATGTACTCGGCATTAAATACAAAGGTAATCAGCTGAGTTAATGTAAGGGTAGATGTGAATGTGCAGTGTCTTTGGGTCATATTTTGTAAATCGAGAGTGTTCGCCTCCTGAAAGACAAAACGCTGAGTAATGAAAACAGTTCATCGTCCAGACTGAGGGGCGGAAATGAAAAGAACGTATGTTGAAAGGTCATGCAGCTGTGCTGAAATGATTCGAGTATACAGCCCATATTTCTCTCATGCAAGTACTTGCCTATATATTGTACACACATGCATGCAGTCTGTACATACAGTAAATATGGATATATATACATACAAGCATAGATATAATTCACAGTATGTATAATGTATGTATCTACATACATATGACTGTATTGCAGTATTTACGAAATCAAATGGATGATGAAGTTAGCAGTACACACACTGCTGAATATACCTGTATACATACAAACATATGTATGAACATACATACGTACATATATTTATACAGATGTACGTATATACATACAGTACGTGCGTACTTAAGAACATACATACATATACATATATATATATATATATATATATATATGTGTGTGTGTGTGTGGATACATGCAGTACAGTACATATGTACATATATACGTTCATATCTCCGTACATACATACATTTGTTCAGTTCCTACGTATTTAAGCCCGACCAATATAGAAATTTTGACTATTGCCATTACCGATATTGGGAGGGAAATGCTAATGTTGATAACCAATATAATGGCTGAACCTTTCAGAGCTTTGTCCTCCCTAAAAATCTTAGTAAACAGGGAGTGGAGCGGGGCTTGTTTATTAGCGCAGCTGTTAGCAACCATGAAACTAAGCTAGTCAGATCCATGCTATACGCAGAGCCACAGTAGGTATACAAGTAGTGCACTGGTCATAAAAACAGTCTTACTAATGTGTATTCACATATTCTATCCTCCACTATTCACCATAAAGTTATCAAGTGTGTTACAAAAATGTAAATTAAACAAAGAATCACCCTTCCCTGTTCATTGTTTGCAAAGTCAGTCACGTATGGTGAAGATCTAATTAGTACTGACCTCAAGCTGCATTTTTTTTTTTTTTTTTTTTTTTTTTTTTTGTAGATAAGATTTCAAACAAAAAATGCATTTCATTGAGGACAACAAAGGTAATGTTACTAACTCTGGTATATATTTACCTCTGTGTTAGATTTATTGCTTTGGATAAAGTTTTACAAGGCAATAGCCTCTGCTGAGTTCGCTAAACGTTAGCTTGCTAACTTGACAGGCACGTAGCTAATGACAGTTGGGTTGGAGGATTGAAGAGAATTTATTATTGTTATATTTATTTTACAGATCTGTTCAAATAAACTTGCCGTGCTCATTTCAGCAAAATACACACAGTACACAGTATTGCTCCCTGCTTCGGCTGTGCTGAATGTGAAACTTAAAGTGAACGGCCATGACTTGAAAATAGTCTTCAGCGCCCTCTGCTGGATACATTGTACAATTACCGCCGGAAGTGGAGAATCCACCACCGCCATGATGGTTTTATTTTATTTAGTGGATTCAATAAAATAAAACTAACTTTTGCAGCTTAATAATAGTTTTGGTTTTCCTGAGACTTATGATATGAGCAGTATGATAAATGGCAGGAGCATAAATATACGCTCCCGATGTTTTGTTTTTCTTTTTTTTTGTTTTTTTTGTAAATAATAAACTGGTTTTTTTTTGTGAATAGCGTCTTGAGTTCCTATGACGTCGCATCTACTAGTCGACGTCGACTTTTATCATGTTGAAGTCGACTTTAAAAAATATGTAGTTGTTCAACCCCTAGTACTTACATGCGTACATAGACTACATAAAAATATTTCAGAAAGGAATGCCACACGGTTGAATTTAGCAGCTAAAGTTAGCCTAAACATGGATAACTTCCAGACTGTTTACGTTTAGCATAAATGCTACAAAATGTTGGTACTATTTTTTACAGAAGCCTTTTTTAAAACGAATGTGTAAAATGTTTACGTGACTACACACGTCGAAGCTAATTTTATAGCGCACCCATCAGGTTGGAACCACGTTAGTATTTTTTAAATTAAACTTTTAAACTCAACTTGGATTGTTAAAACTCGACAATACACACAGAAAGACGCTCACTGACCATGAAGGACATCGCTTCATCTTTTCCTTTCTACACATGTCTAGTATTCCCATTCATCGTCCCTCCTTTAAATCCTTCAATTTGACCCTTGACCCCCATTTTTTTCACTTGTCTCCTGCAGAGGTTTGTTGGACCAGGAGCCTTTTTCGCTGCAGACACGTTACATATAAAGGAAGGAAAACGAACACCAGATCGAGCTCCTCGCTTTGTTTTCCATATTTGAGCCAAAACGTGTTCACAATCGACTTCCTTAGTGTTGTTTTGCAGAAAGACGCATATCTTCACAATGAGTCAGAGTCGACCAGTAAACACACTGGGATGCAGTACGAGCACTCGCAGTTTTAAGTAGTTGCCAACATTTCACGCATACGTCTTGCACTTGGTCAGGTGAGTTCCCCGATCGGGCAGGGGTTGTTCTAACCAGCTGCAGACGAGGATCAGACCAGAGCCCCTCTCAAACCTCGACATCCTTAACGTTAAAGAGTCGTGAGAATCTGTCGCTCTTCCCACCATAAAACAATCCTCCATGTGCATTTAATTTCAGTAAACACGGGGCGTCTGCATATTTCCTCTGCTTTCAGGCTCGTTAAACCGCTGCTGTTTCTGTGTGAATTCAAAACAAAGTAACGCGGTTTTCTCTCCCGACTAATTGTCTCCCTCAGCTCCGGAGGTTCTGGCCCAGAAGCCGTACAGCAAGGCAGTGGACTGCTGGTCCATCGGCGTGATCGCCTACATCCTGTAAGTAGCCGCTCCGCCTCGCTGTTTGCTACTCGACGCCGAGGCGTGCGCTCCAAGCAGCCTGACTGACGGTGGATGTGAGATTCACAGTTTACCCGTTTCTCACCACCGAGCCCATAAACTGCACCAACACTGAATGAAGAAGCTGAGCGGCGTTCGTCACGCACCGTTTCACATTCGTTGACGAGCCGTGTTCACAGAAGAGCTGGATCAATCAACGTGGACTTGTTTGGCTGGACAACTGATAAACTGGGATCAGTTATGTTCGCGTCTTGGTTCGTTGGCAAAATATCATAATCCACCGGATGGATTTTACTGAAACGTGCAGGAAGTCATCTGTGGAAGTACATTTACAACAAAGTAGCTTTTGGAGTCAGCTCGATTCGAAATGGCCGCTCGAACTAGCGAACACGTAACGTTTCTAATTTAGATAATTTTTTGACGGTTTGGTGCTAAAATGAGGTGTTTTTGTAGCCGAGAGTCGTTTACAACACATGCGCCAAGATCTTTGCTAAAATCTTAAGCATTCACTGTTGACGCCATCTTTGTCTGTTAGCAAAATATCTCTTGATGCACAACGCAGAATCTAACAAAACGTTTAGAAGGCAATTATTAGATATGGATCTGCAGTTGTTTTACTTTTGTATTGAAGCTGATTTAATTTGGCCGCCGCAGCCGACTGACCTTGAAAAACACAAAACTCGGTTAGTTTTACAAAAACTGAGCTGATATTCGCTGTGGTAGTAGCTGAGAGTTGTTCACAACACACTTTCTGAGCTTGACGCTTCACACTTTATTGACATTATTTGAAATGAAAGGTGGAGGGCGATGTGCACTTCTTCAGGGAATGCAATGTTGTTTGATTGTCCTAAAATGGGTATTTGTTACATGGGGGGAAAAAAAAAGCTTGATTCAGTTATTTATGAGTCAATTTTTGTTTCGCAAAAAGTCAAGATTAACTAAATCCCTCTCTGAAGATTAGTAACAGATGTTTTGGTCCAAAACAATATTTGTATTTTTGTGAACAGATGCCTGGAGATGATGCTATTTCAGAGCTGTTAGCTGGACAACACAATCAGACTCTTTGGTGAAACTAGAACAAATGTGCCCTCCGTGTGACTTATTGTGCCGGCTGTTTCAAAAAGAGAACAGGAAGCAGAGAAATGTTGCTCTCCTTGGTTTGATGTCGTCTTTGTGAGCCCATCACCACGAGCCCCTGCAGTTAACCACAGCAGAACTCTTGAGAGTTACGTGTTGTTGTGCCTGATGGTGTTTAGGTTCATGTTTTTAGTTCAGTGGTTCGCAAACTGGGGAGTGTGTTCCCTGGGGAAGGAAGTCAGCAGAATCCTGTTTTAGTGCCAACAATTACAAGTTGTTTATATTGGAGCACTGACGAGTACACTTTGGATGGTTTGGACTCTGCTAACCCGAACCCTAATCCATGGACATAAAGAAAAAAACTATGTTCTCTCTGCATCAAATGCAGCTCAATCAAACTGGATTTATTTATTTATCAATAGTCTGAACGTGACGAATACGATTACAGTAGTCCCCTCGCTACTTCGCGGTTCGTTCTTCGCAGACTCGCTCTGTCGCGGTTTTTCAAAATAAGATTGGACATGACACACATTTGGCTGATTGATGGATGAGCCTAGGCCTGTCGCCATAAACAATAAATCAATGAATCGCATGATAAATGAAAACGATCAACCTCATTTTCATTTATCGGTGTTATCGTTTCTTCGTCTCTCTCTTTCTACTGAAGACACTGGATGATAAAAAGCTCAACTCCGGTGCTCTTCACTGACCCCTCCCTTTCTCTTTAAAACCTGTTTTAACGATCCAAAATTGTGTTTTTGGATCGTTAAAAGCAGCTAAACTGAGAAGTTAAGCTACGAGCTAAGCTAAAAGGCTAACTTCAGGGGAAAAACCTCAGTCTTGTCAAAACTCCACAAATTCACAGTTGAAACCCGTGCCTTCGTCTAAAAAGTTGTTTTTCTCTGCAAAAAGAAGCTGAGAACTTATTTACTGATTTTTTTTTTATTAAAAGCTTTGTGTGAAAAATGCTATGCTAAAGAGCTCAAACCACACAAAGTGTCCGCCATTTTGGTAACTGAAAAAAAGGAAGGACAGCCCATGTCACGTCAAGGTGCCTCCCTCCCATTTTTCTTAGACGCGCAGCTCGCTCCCTCACTTTCCATCCTTCAGTTCAAACAGTCTTATACTGCCATCCAGTGGTAAAAAAAAAGTACTACACACAAAAGAAATTAACCAACATTTCTTCTTAAATATTATCGTTTATTGCAATAATTTCGAAACAATTAATCACCCAGCAGAATTTGTTATCGTGACAGGCCTAGATGGGCCGCACGGTCCGCATGGAATTTTTATTTAAAATAAATAATTTAAAATAATTTAGCACCTGAGTGCAGCCCACTGGTAACAAGGAAGAGGGCCGGCAATGGAGGAGGGGCGTACCAAAGAGACCATCTTATCACAAGCAGAACTGGTTTGTTCCGCTTTGGAGTAAGCTGTCGGGGGAAGAATCAGTTTTGTTGTGTGTTTCCTTGACTGATGAAGCCTTCCGGAGGTTTTCATATGTGGTACTGAATCACACACCCCAGATGTTTTTCATAGTGACTGCAGTCTGAACGGTCGTCTCATTCCACCCGACTTTTATCAGCGAGGTGGTGTGAGTGGATCGATCCAAGTGAATAATAATAATGACACCGTCCTCGTGCAGTTTAAACTCGGAGCTCAGCGTGTCTTCAGCTAAAGAACAAAAATCCAGTTGCTTCATTGTTGTTCTTTTCATTTTTAATTTCATGTCCTGGTTGACTGAGAATCTACAGCAACACATGATACTTAGTGATGGACTGTGTTGATACTAATGTGACGGATCGATCCTTGAGTTTGTTTCTTCTTTCTGTGTGTGGCTCCCATCCCAAAAATAACGTTGCACCGGAGGAGCCGACAAGAAGCCAGATTAAATATAAACTCTGGACCAAACAAGCACATGAACACATGCTAACACGTAGCATCCATATTTACTCCCTTAAACACAGCGTGCTGCGTTCTGCACATGTGGGTCACCTCAGAACTGTAAACCGTTCACACTGCAGTCTGATGGGGGTCACATTTAAATGATGTGAATGACGAAACAAAACGTGAACTGAGCATCAAGGCCTGCAGCGTGAACGGAGCCCAAGTCGGAAGGAGAACAGTGGAATCAGAATACCTAAAGATAAAGTTCTTCTCTTCTTCTGAAAAGAAACAAAAACTAAAAGCTAACAATTTTTATAAAAAAAAAAACCTAGATGAGGTTGAGTTACATTAACACCCAAACAATCAATTAATGAAGTAGAAATCGTTAGAATCCACTCTGACTTGTTTTTGCTTCGGACCTGGATAAAAGTGATGAGGAGCAGAGGTGCAAGAGTTGTATCTCTTTGATGGTAAATCACAAATGAACCGTCAGGCTTTTTTTTTCTGATACGCCAATCCTGTCTCAGTACTGTTAACTCACAACGTGGACAGAAAAGACTAAACCGAAGAGACAGAAGACATTCGGTCTGGGATCACAGTGACAGCTAGGAGCTAAAAGCTAACACCGGTCTGTGTGAGATCTGTTAGCTCTGTGTGGTCTGACGATGAAGACGAGTGGAGCTCAGAGCTCGGCTGAACGGTCCTGTAAGGATACGGCGCAGCAGGAGAGGTTCCACTTTCACTGCTTCTTGTTTTTCTTGTGCTTCCTCCGTCCCCCGCGCTCACAGCCAGTATGTGTGTGAACATGTGTTTGAGCGAGTGTGAACAACGTCTGAGCCACTGGTTCACAAGTATGCAGCGTTGGGAAGATGCTGTCTACATGAACGCCAACCGGTGCTTGTCCCCGCGTTTCTGTGTGTTCCAGCCGAGACGTTAAGGGTCAGAGGTCAGCAGTAGGGAAGTAGTGTCTGACAGGACAGTGACTAGGCCTGTCACGATAACAAATTTTTCTGGGCGATTAATTGTCTCAGAAATTATTGTAATAAACGAAAATAGTGTTTTGAAATATGACTATAATTAGTAATTATTGTCAGTTTTAAGAAGAAATGTTGGTTAATTTGTTTTGCGTGTAGTACCTTTTTTGACCACTGCATGGCAATGTAAGACCGTTTGAACTGAAGGATGGATAGTGAGGGAGCGAGCAGCATGTCTCTTTAAGAAAAATGGGAGGGAGGCGCCTTGATGTGACATGGGCTGTAGGGGTGGGCGATGCAGCTCAAATATAATATCGTGATATTTCAGAGCATTCTGACGATAACGATAAATTTTGTGATGTAACAAAAAAAAACAGAAATCATAGTTATTCATTTGACAAAATTAACTTAGCATGTTGCTTTGCAATATTATACAGGTCCTTCTCAAAAAATTAGCATATTGTGATAAAGGTCATTATTTTCCATAATGTAATGATAAAAATGAAACTTTAATATATTTCAGATTCATTGCACACCAACTGAAATATTTCAGGTGTTTAATTGTTTTAATACTGATGATTATGGCATACAGCTCATGAAAACCCAAAATGCCTGTCAGCTAATTAGCGTTACACCAGTACTAACAGGTGTGGGGTGATGCGCAGTTCGGTTCGGTAGTTCGGCGCGCTCGGTTCTGTTAACGGGGTGGGGCGAAACACTGATGTATTTACGTCATGAAATTAGCATATCGTGATACAATTTATTTTCCCGGGCAAGCTTTTTTTTTTTACCGGTGTTATCGTGAACGATATGATATGACCCAGCCCAAATGGTCTGTCTCTCTTCGGTTCTCAAAATGGCGGACGCTCGGTGTGGTTTGAGCACATAGCATAGCATTTTTCACACAAAACTTTTAATAAAAAAATTAGTAAACAAGTTCTCAGCTTCTTTTTGCAGGAAAATACTTTTTACACAAAGGCACTTGTTCCAACTGTGGATTTTGGAGTTTCGACAAGACGGAGGTTTTTTCCCCGAAGTCAGCCTGTTAGCTTAGCTCCTAGCTTAGCTTCTCTGCTTAGCTGCTTTTAACAATCCAAAATCGCGACTTTGGGCAGTTATGGATTTTAGAGAAAAGGAGGGGTCAGTGATGATCACCGGAGTAAAGCCGGTAAATGAAAATGAGGTTATTTTCATTTATCATGCGATTAATTGATGTATTGTTTATCGCAACAGGCCTAGCAGTAACTGATGAGTTTTATGCACAAAAATGTGAGTACGGGCGGGGAAAGAGCAGCTTCCTGTTGGGAATTAGCACAATTCGTGCTGGGATTCAGACCTCGTTAGCTTTTAGCTGCCGCTCAGGTGGAAAAATCGCATCAAGTCATCAACCATAATAATCTCCCAGCATTCTTTGTGTGTTTGCGGGCCTGCGGTATCAGGAGGAATAGCGTTGGGATTTCACAGAGTGACAGATACGGCTTTAAGCAAACATGAAAGCAGGAAAACGGAATGCTTTTCAATCCTCCTCTCTTTTTCTTGGCACATTTTCCATTTATTCCCGTTTTCTCCGTGTGTATCGATGGAGAACTTCATGCTAATGAGCTCTTATGAAACTCTTATTGCATCCAGCACGTTGGTACTAAGCGGCTGATGTTTTGGCTGAGCAGCGTTTTGCTCATTTTGTCTTGAACTTGTAACAGAAATTAAAAATAGGCTGGTGTGGCACTCTGATGTGATTCCCTTGAGCAAAGATGAAAAAAAAAAAAAACAAAGGAAAATAAGATGATTCTGAATTTGATGGCAGCATATCTCAAAATGCTGTGGAGTGTCCCCTCTTCTTTTCAAAACAGTTTACAGTAACAGAACTGAGGAGTCCACCTGCCGGAGGTTTTAGAGGGAAACGTCCCATTCTTACCTGATGGAGGATTCAATCTGTTCAACAGTCCTGCATTGTTTTTCACAGATTCTTCATTTCATAATGCTTCAGATATGTTTCATTGGTGAGAGGTCTGAACTGCAGAGATGCCAGAAATCAGACTTCTCTACTGTGAAGTCATATAATGAGTGCAGTGTGTGGTTTTGCATCATCTTGCTGAAATATGCAAGGCCTTCCCTGATGAAGACATCTAGATGGAAGCATATGTTGTTCAAAAACCTGTATATACTTTTCTGCATTGATGTTGTTCCAGATGTGCAAGCTTGCCATGCCATACGCACTAATGCACCCCCATACCATCAGAAAGGCAGACCTTTGCACCCTGTTCTGATAGCAGTGCAGACGGTTCCTCTCCTCTTTAATACAGAGGGCGAGGCGTCCATGGTTTATAAAAAGATTTTCACATTTCTCTTTGTCTGACCGCAGAACGGTTTTCCACTTTGCCTCAGTCCGTTTGGAATGAGCTTTTTCATCCAGAGAAGACGACGGTGTTTCTGGTTGGCGTTTACATAAAGCTTGGCACAGATGCAGTGATGTCCAGAGCAGAATCGGACTTGTTTTTAATGCAGTGGCCCCTGAGGGTCCGAAGATCATGAGCATCCAGGATTGACTTTCAGTCTTGTCTTTTGAGCGCTGAGATTTCTCCAGATTCGTGAAATCTTTGGATTAGGGGTGCACCGATTGCAGTTTTCTGGCCGAGCACCGATTTCTAAAAAGTCTGACCTGCCAATTCCGATTTTGTTTTGTAATCGACGCTGTCAGGCGTTATAAGGTCACAATACACCTTCAATTTTCCAATTTTATTTCATTGAAAAACATACCCTTGAACAATATCCTAGAAACAATACAAACTTGTTTGAACTGGCCATGAGGTAGTGCTCTGAAATATAAATGAAGTTCAGACAATTGTTAAAACAAAAAAAAGTCAATAAAATCAGTTTCTCATGCAAGTATCGTCCTGTTTTCCCAAAATTAAGGAAATCGGGGCCGATAAATCGGCCAGCCGATTTATTGGTGCACCCCAACTTTTGATATTATGAACTATAGATGGGATTTTCAGAGGCTTCCTAATTTTTCCATTGAGGACCATTATTCTGAAATAGTTCCACTATTGCAGACAGTTTTTTTGCAGACTGGTGAACCTCTCGGACATTCAGATACTCTTTTTATGTCTAGTCCTTTTTCTGACTTGTTACTAATTAACATTAACAAGGCTCATATAATTGAAATTAGGAAGTAATAAATAGTTGTGTTGTGTTTTTACTAAATGACTGTATGAACTTCTTGTCTGCAGGTTGTGTGGTTATCCTCCCTTCTATGATGAAAATGACTCCAAACTCTTTGAGCAGATCCTAAAAGCCGACTACGAGTTTGACGCACCGTACTGGGACGACATATCAGATTCAGGTAAGATTTCATATTTCTTTCTCCTCCTCATCGTTCACTGACCAGTTGCCCCTTTCTTGTCCCACATGTGAACCCCACACCACATTTCCCTCTCAGCACCTCACGTCAGCTTTGAGGAATGAAAATATGTGTATGCGTAGGGTCACGTATGTCACCACCCCAGTAAGCGAAGTTTAGCAGTAAAACCAACTTTGTGTTGGCCAGAAACCAGCTGAGACAAACTCAGTCTGCGTGTCACTGACTGTTAAGACAATAACTTTAATGACAATCTAGTTAAGTTTTGTTGCATGCTTATTATTTAAATTATCTTTCATGCCAAAAGCAACATGTTCAACACAATGGTGGTTCTTCTATTTAGTTAACTGTCAATAAAATGGTGTACCACAAGGCTCAATCTTAGGACCCACTCTCTTCACAATCTAAATGAGTAATGTAGGTCAGAACATTACATCCTTGCATTCCTACGCCGACGATACGGTTGTTTGTCATGCTAAACCATTTGCTAAGTTTTTCCAGCTTTTACAGTCTGCCTTTGACATCATCCAGTCAGATTAGTTCCGTCTCAAACCGATGCTAAATGTTGATAAAACCAAAGGGATGTTTTCAAACAGGAAGTTGGTACCAGCAGTCCTTCCTTCTATCTTTTCTACGAATGGTGTTCCTATTGAGTTTGTCGATTCTTACAAATACTTGGGAATCTTGGTCGATTCACATTTCTCTTTTAAGCCGCAGGTCGAAAACTTGATAAAGAAATTTAAATTTAAAATGTGTTTCTTTTTCAGAAATAGATCTTGCTTGAATGCTAGGAAACACCTTGTAGCTGCTACTTTACTTACACGGCCATGGTGGCATTATTTATATGAATGCTCCTGCAGTCACCTTGCAGATGTTGGATTCTGTCTACCATGGCTGTTTATTGTTGTGTGTACCTTGTCTGTGGTTTGTCTAAAACAGGTCTCTCTGGAAAACGAGTCCTCTTGACTCAGTGAGACTAACCTGTATAAATAGAGGTTGAATGAAATTAGGATTCTGTGAATTTGACGTTTTGTTTTTAGATTTGAAGCAATCTATATTGGCCATGTAGTCAAGAATTTTGACTGAGCTTGTTGTATGTCAGTTTATTAATTGCAGGGACCTACTCTTGTGTTGTGCAAACAAGGAACATAGATGTGCCATGTCATTTTATACCTGATACCACCAGATGACCCTTTATATATACCAGTCAAAGAGCGGACATGTTATGGTATAGTCTCCATTTGGCCTTATGTACCTACATCAATAAACTTTCTCTTCTCCCGCCCATAACTTCTGATCCACTCAAGATAATTTAACGAATCCTTATTCACATTTGTACTCCCACTAGACCACACGTCACGCACACTTGTCATCACCCCAGATGTTTCATGCCTGTTTTTGATGTTGTCTACTCTCAGCCAAGGATTTTATCAGCTGTTTGATGGAAAAAGATCCAACCAAGAGATTCACCTGCGAACAGGCCCTCAGACATCCCTGGTGAGAAATACACAGCCATCCCAAACAGGCTTGAAGTCAGTGCAGAGTTATTGATGTCTGAGGTGTTAACAGAAGATTCCTTTGTGTGAATTTTTAAGGATCGCCGGGGATACGGCTCTCTGCAAGAACATCCACGAGTCAGTCAGCCGGCAGATCAAAAAGAACTTCGCTAAGAGCAAATGGAGGGTAAGTTTTGTTTACGGAGCTCTACTGTCTGTGGTTTTGGCTCGACTGCAGAAGACTGTTATTTCATTACGGTTTCTCGAAACTCCTGTGTTAAGAAGTTTATTTGCTCAGTGTTAGAAGCATGTCTGACACGTAACGAGTTATGTCTAGATTGTCTTGTTTTTTTTTTTTCATGCAGAACGTTACAAAAAATAATAAACGTTCCACAACCTAAAATAAATAACCATCGTTCTTTATACTAATGAATCAGAAAAATCTCGGAGAAACAAATAGAACGTACACAATCTTTTAACCACTGTGCTACTTTTTTGCCATTCTGTTATATTTTACTAGAAGTGTCCTGATACTAGATTTGTAGACAAATACAAGTATTTCTGTTTGTGTATTTGCCAATACTGCGTACCCATACTGAGTAGCTATTGATTTAGTACTTAAACATTACATGATGAGTTTAGAAACACGTTTTTTAAGTAAGAACACAACAAACAGCCTGCTGTCTCAAGTTCACCCATGTTTATCTTAAAATATCTCATCTATGAAAAAAATACTTTTTTTCTCCTCATTATCTTGCAAAGTGGAAGAGGAAATGATGTCACCAACCATAAATGTGGCATCGGTTTCAAGTATTGGGAGGTTTTTATAAGTACAAGTACTTGTACTGGAGGTAGAGTTGCATTCAGGCCCAAAAAATCCGACTTGAACCGGCCCCAGCCCGTAGCCATAATTTCCAAACCCCACCAGACCCGACAAATTAACAGTAATTACAGGTCCGAAGCCCCCCACCCAACAATTTTTAATTAAGCTTTGACTGCTTGTTCAGTTATTAACGGTCGGCGGACGCGAGCGGCTGAGTAAAAGAGAGCAGAAGATCAGAGCTGAGGGGGTGTTTGTCCTTTCATGGTCGTCAAAGTGCATTAAATTCCTGCTTCTTCCTGCATTCTGCATTATTCAGACACGGACCCTGCTCTGACATGTCAGATATTTTGGGATCTCACCTGTTTGGATCATCGGTCGCGTGCGTCCACTGAGTGCAGCTGAATTTTTTTTTAATTACACCACCACCTTCTAAAGGAAAGAACAAAGATGACTCATTTGTTTGAATGTCTTTCTTTACTTTAACGGAAATTTTTTGTTTTCTTACCTATTTCAAGGCCAGTCAACGCGCGGTCAAATGGCCGCGTGCGGCTGGTGATTGTATGGCAAGCCTTGTTGCCATATAATTGGATTGTCAGCTGCATCAAAAGCTCAACACAGGCCCGGCCTGCACATTAAGCACATTATTATGGTCCGGCCCTAATCCGACTCGGGCCAGGCCAGGCTCTGGGTTTGGGTTAGAAATGACTGCTCAAACTTGAGGCTGGTATCGGGACCGATACTGGTATCAGTATCAATATTGTATCAATATTGTAATGATATTTTATCATAACAGTTATTTTTCCTGAACCAGACATATGCAGGGGTCAACATAAGCAGTTCCTGTTTGTCCAAGACAACCTATTTTCATTTCGGACAACCAGATGTCGCCTCGAGGTTGACCGATGAACAACCAAGTGAAGTAGACATGGATTGAAGTTCTCAGTCACTGCAATGGATTTCCATCTGGAAAAATGAAATGGCGAAAAAAAACAATGTGTTTTCAACCTTCCCGATTTGGGCGGGACGGTCCTGGATTTTTCCCACCCTGTCCCACATGAGGAGGGACAAATGTCAAATGTCCACTTGACAAGAGCTGGCTGGGCTCACCGGTTCATGCCGGTGTGAGAGGAGGGATACAGCGGTATGAAGGCAGATATGTTACAATAGTCGTGAACTTGTAACTTTGATTTGTGCACCTGTAGGAAAAATGTGTACTTGCGTTTAAAAATTTCACCTGCAAAAAAGTTTTATATGAAACATTTTTTGAATGGAAAGTTGCAGAAACAACAGTTACAAATGTGTAAAAATGTATTTATACAAATATAATGAGTTACAACATGAGGTTCCAACCATTATTTTTAGAAGCCACATAATGAGTTAAATAGAATCTACCCAGGAGCAGTCCAAGTGTATACCTGTCCAACACCTGTACTACCAACCAAAAGACCAAGGAGCTCTCCACAAAAGGTCAGATACAAAGTTGTGGGGAACTACAGATCAAGGTTGGAGTGTAATAATATGTTTTAAACTCTAAACATTCCATAGACTTGATTATCAGGAAATGTGAAAAATATAATAAGAGGGTCGTCCACAGAACTCAAGAATCTGGTAAGGAGGGATTAATTAGAGAAAGATCCAGGAGGCTGAAGGTGACCCTGGTGGAGCTGAGCAGCTTGTTTGCAGGGAAGAAGGTCTGTGTCCACAGGACCACCAAAAACTGCACAGAGCTGGGCTTCATGAATGGCAGGAAAAAGCTCCCCACAGTGAAGCATGGAGGTGGCAGCATCATGCTGTGGGGATGTTTTGCATCAACAGGGACTAGATAACTGGACACAAGTTAAAAGAAAAAGATGAAGAAATAGTTGAGAGGGAGTTGTTTGAGTCTGCTGCATCTTTTAAAGATAATTATATAATTTTGTTTTCCCGGTCTCTCTGCAGCAAGCCTTCAACGCCACAGCTGTGGTGCGCCACATGAGGCGGCTGCAGCTCAGCAGCAGCATGGGCAGCAGCGTGGACGCCTCCAACCCCAGGTCCGGTCAGACGCCGAGGCCAGCCCAGAACCAGAACCAGGCGGGTCAGAACCACACAGCTCAGAGCCAGAATACTAACAGCACCGGCGGCAAAAACTCCTCCATAGACAACAACATGGCCGCCCCCCGCAAAGAATGTGAGTGAGGGGCACCAAAACGAGGACCGAGTAGATGCAGAGAAGACGAGGCAGCGGCAGAACTCAGGAAGGGCTCATTTAAAGCTGTCAGGGAGACGTGAGGAATAGAAATAGATTAATTTGGATCCTGTTCAAAGTGATGCAGCTCCTCTGAAGCAACACGTCTCTGTTCTTGGCTCTGTGTGTCTGGGTTGCCATGGTGATGGAGAAAGTGTTCCCTGACTTATAACGACCCGAAACCTATTAAATATTTTACTTTCATTCACTGGAAATGTCCAGCTCAGTTTTAGTTGTTCAACTTTGAGGATAAAATGGCAACTTCAAAGTTTAAAGTTTGTTTACGCAGGTTTTATTATCAGGTAAATTCTAAAGCGTATGTTTTAAGATATCGTTTTTATTTATAACATTGTCATTTTGTAGAAATCTGTCCAGTTACTTTCTGTTCTTTAAACATTCTTGGATTTGACACCTTTAATGTAAATAATCCATTTTTTTATTTATTTAATTGCAGTCAGATGTGTTCAAATTAAAATATATGTGTTTTAAATGTATCCAGGCAAACGTCTCATTGAGATAAAATTCTTAAATTTTAAAACAAATCTGTAAGCTTCACTCATAAAGTGCGTAATTTAGAATAAATTACAGCAAATATGGCTCCGATACACACATGTTTACACTACTAAGTTAAAGGGATAGTTCAAATATTTTGAACTAGTGTTCGGTGTAAAAGTTATGAACAATAAACATCTTACCTGTTGTAGATGGCTCGTTCAAAGGCTTTAGTGTGAGACATAAGTCTTAGTTATGAATAAATTGATGAGTTTATGGCTAGTTAGAGTGAAATCAAAACTTTAAGGGATTATTGCAGACTTAAAACAAACTCAAAGATGCCAAAGTTTAAAGCCGTTTATGTAAAATCTGAAATACAAACCTTTACACAGCCATTGTATTGGGATTACATAGTTATATGGGGAATCTGCTATGCCTCAAAATATATCCCATTCTAAATTAGACTCCTCTTTTTTTTTTTTTTCCCAAAAAACTCCAGTCTTCAAAGTTTTATAGCAATTTAAGCTAGTGCTATTTTATAATCCATAATACTGCTGTCAGTTTCATGTTGCGTCATTATTCCTGCAGGAAATGAGGCCAGTCTTCAACAGAAGTGCTACAACCAGCTGCGCTTAAAATCAACCAAATAATTTTTTGTATTAACAAATACAAATCGACGACTGTGTAATGGTTTCCATAGGAGCGTCCGCTTGAATCTTTATGAAATGTTGGGTATTGGAGCCGTTTTAAGATGGCAGCGTTCCACTTTGGTCTTAGCTGTGGTCGAGCGAGCTGTTAGCTTGTCAGTCCTGTCAGAAATCAACTTTTTTTTCCCTGAATGAGGCTGTTGAAAAAGCTGTCTATTACATGTAAGATATTTATTGTTCATACCCTTTCCACAGAACACCCCTTCAAAAAATGTGAATTAGCATTAGCTAAGTGGCTGCAGTTGATAAAATCAGTCAGTTATAATCAAAACAAAGCAGAAGACGTAGAAACATTAATTTTATTTGTTGACTTAAAGTTTATTTTTACAACAAAGCTGTTGTACTGGCTTCTTCTTTGTTTATTTTTTGTTTTTTCTTAAGGTGTTCCTGCACCCGTCACCCCCTGCAGTCTGGCTTCTGCAGCGTCCTCTCCCGCCCCCGGGACAGAACAGAACCGGCCCCACGCTTCAGCGGTGCCCGCCCTGATGATGGCGACAGAGACCAAGTGACGCCAGGTCCCGCGAGGCACCAGCTGGGAGGCCACAGCGCTGTGAGGCGAAAGGAGACTGCCACAGAGGTGGAGGAAGAGGAGGAGGAAGAGGAGGATCGGATTCTTCCTCGCTGCTATTTTAACGCATTTCTCTCTTGGCTCTGGCCCCGCCCCCTTTCAAGTGGTGCCCCGCCCTGCTCCAAGGAGAGCAGAGGACTTTCAACCCACCGTCTCCCCACTTCACACCCACCAGGACAGCCTGTAGCTACAAAACATCCACAGATTCTCTGATTTGCGCGACCAGCTTTGATTTTTTTTTTAACTTTTAGCTGTAAAAATCTGTCGATCGCTTCACATTCGAGCTGCGGACGGTCGATCTGGATCATCTTATCAGTCAACCTCCTGAATCTGGTCCTTTCTGCACCACTTTGTTCAGCTTTGATCCAACCTACTTTTGACTGTTAGACGTTTTATATTTTTTTTATTCTTCTTGTTTCTTTTAAAGGTGGCGTGTTTAAAAGACAAACTGCTGTCGGACTGATGATGCCACTGTAAATAAGCCATAGCCAAGATGGAGTCCACTCTACTTCATTGTAATTAAAAGCTGTCGCTCGCTAGGCATTTCTCTAGATTTACCATAATCCCGTCGAGTCGTTCTGTGTTTTGAATGTCGATGCAGAATAGTCTTCTGTGTAATGGCCTCCATGTTTACATAAATTCTACTAACATCGCAAACTAATCTGAGAGGGATTAATTTGCTGGATTTTTGATTTCTTGCTCTGCATCTTTATTGTCGTTTTCTGCGTCTTTACAGGCTCGTTGGTCTGTCAGTGCTTGCAGAAGTGCTTTAAAAGTACCATATGACTGTTGAGGCATGGAAAAATACGAGGAAGCGCTTTATCTTTTTTGCACAGATTTGTTGTCTCAGAAAAGTTAGACAGAAAGAAGAGATTGTAAACTTATGAAAACAATAGATGTCAAAGCATTGTGAAGCTTTTTAAATGTGTAAAAAAAAACTTCTTTTTTTTTTTGGGAGAGGAGGTTTTTGTTGTTTTTTTTCTTTTTTTTTTACTAAAGGGGGTTTGTTGTAAAAAAAGACAATGTATTCCCCTGGAAACTGCGTCCACATGAGAACGTTAGGAAATGAAAATCGCCATTAGACTTCCCTGTAGAGGCCACACAGGGCAAGGTGGCGTCAAGGTGGCTAAAAGACGCATGGCGTGTAAAAAGTTACTTCATACGTTTAAAGACTTTGTTGCCTGCCGTTCCTTCTCTCCGTAACGAAGCCATGATCTCACCTTCTTGTTCTTTTAAGCTGCACCCAGTCCAGAAGTCCTCAGGGAAATCTGCAGCTGCACTGTGAGCTGGCAAACACCAGCTTCCTGTTTGTTAGCTTTGTTGTTGTTGTTGTTTTTGTACTGTTGGGGGTGTTCCAGTGGTCGTAAGCAAAATGATAGTTCATCAGTTTCGAAGCGGAAAGGTTATGAACATTAAATATCTCACTGGTTGTAGATAGCTCCTTAAATGACCTCAATTTGGAGAAGTAGCTTGTAGTTGTGACGAGCTAACGGCTAGTCGAAACTAGGCCCAAAACAGGCGGCAGCCATCTTTAAACAACTCCAATCTCTAAAATGTCACAGCAGTTTGTTAAACTCTGTTTTATAAACCTTTAGGTCAGCTGTCAGTTCCCCACTAATCTGGTGTTTGTTTTTGTTTTCCACAAATTGGTGATGGTCAGTGCTAGTAGCATTAGCAGCGGCTAGCCGTAGCTTTCTGGTGCCGTCTGTGAAACTTCCTGTAGGTGTGTCATATTTCTGCTGGAATAGCTGCATAATGTAAAATTAACAATGGTAGATATTTATAAAATAGCTTTTTTTTTTATGAACTGCTATAATTTATAAATATTAAAGTTGATGTAAAATAGAAATACCCACTTTGAAAGTTGTTCCACTGAGATCATATTGACAAGCTAATTTGAGCTAGTCTGAGCAGACGCCAATCTCTGACGCAACCCTATAAATGTTTTCACCTCCATTAATGTGCTGCTTTGTGCTTGTTCAGGAGGAAATGTGCAGAAGTGCTCCAGCTAGCTGCTGCTGCTGCTTGTTGTGCTCGAATATTCCGCGTAAACAAAGTGTCTGCATGAACCGCGTTAAACTTTGATGACAGAGTTGTTTGAACACGTTATCAGACTCACCGTTCGCTCGACAGTCTCATCAGCATTATACTATTCCTGCAAAGTGAGGCTGTTCAAAGAGTCATCTACAGCAGGTGAGATATTGACTGTTCAGCGCTTTTATACAATTAGAGACGAAGCATGAGCTGAGCTCTCTGTGTAGTTTAGTCTACAGATACAAGCTGATTTAAGCTTTGACACCATTTTTTTCCAAATCAAATGACTTTATAGCTTAGATACATATAGTGGCAGCCTAATCTTTGTTTATTGTAACTTCATTTATTTTTATTTTTTCTTGTTCATCGTGAGCTTGACCTGACCTCTGGTGGTATTTGGCCTTTTAGTCCTGACTCTGACAGCAGATCTGTACACTGCCGGGTGCTCACTCACACTAATCAGTTGTCTTATTGGATGCACGCTGTCTAATCCCTTTATTGTGAGCTGTAGCCAAAGACTCATGCTTGGATTGAAGATGATTTGGCTCATTAGAAAACGGAGGGCGAGTTGGTCGGAGCAAAACTATTCAGATGTGAACCTATTCAAAACTCAAGGGCTGAACTCCAGCTGCAAACAAATCTGGAGAGAAAGGTGTCGACCTCTTGTTCTTTACGTTGCCATTTTTTATTATCTATACGGTTGTGCTGCTAAAATGAAAATAAATTGAAAAAAAAAGCTGCAAATTATTCACAGTGCTTGTTTTAACCTGCCTGAGTGCCAGATGGGTGTGAGGACACATCTGGATGAGAGTCACCTGAAGGCAGAGGTTTTTAAAATCACATTTTGTTCTGTGTTTTAAAACGTGCCTAATGTTGGCTCAGAGCGACCGTGAAATGATATTTTTACTTATAAATCCACTCTAAATCAAAGTCTAATCCCAAACGTTGACTCTTTTTTTAAAAAAACGTTCTCCCTACCGACAGTTCCACCTTGTTTAGTTTTGATCAAACTGGCTACGCCTTTCTTCTTGAAACTAAATGTTTTTATAACTTAGTCAGTTGATCCCATAGGACAGTAGAAACCTGCAGCGTTTTCCCCTTTTTTTTTTTTTTGTCATTCACTTCATCACAGCTCTTCTCTATATTTTGGTTTTTACGAGTGATAAAATTTCTAATTTTAATTTCTACATTGATTTTATATTCTGACTTCAAATACACAACAAGTTATTGGTATATGCATTATTGTTAGGGTAATACATAACTTAATATATCTTCTAAAAGACTAGTTCAGAATTTTAGAGAGGGACTTTGTTAAAAGACTAAAAATAAATATCTTACCTGTTGTAGATAGCTCTTCACTTTGTAGAAAATGTTTAATTTGGACTAGACTAATATTTCTGTTGGAGGTGGAGATAATCCTAGAGTTAAATGTAAATAACTGGCAGGTGGACAAGTCTATTGCTGTGAAATTATTTAAAAAATGGCAGTACAATAATCCCCTTTGGTTGTGCCACCTCTCTGACTCTGACTAGCTGTTAGCTCGTCGATCCAATCAGAAGAGGCATCTGCAACTGGTAAGATAATTGATCATATCGTCACCAAACCTTATTCTAAACATCAGAGCTGTGACTTTAGATTGCATTATAGTCATATAATATTTATTTTTAATCTGTTTTTTCCTCGTAGATTGGAACATTTTTAGGAAAAACGAACCCGACTCGAATCATGTAAGGGCTTGATTGTTGGATATTTAAATGTTTGCTGTAATCTGGTTCATTGTTGTGATTATATAAATGTTATTGTTCTATGCATTTTGCTTTGTTTTTTAAAATGCGTTAACGTTTTCAAAACATCAGGAAATCGATACATCAGCAGATCTTGATTTTTAAAAAATGTGCAAATCTAAGATAATTTCACTTAATTGATAATCCTACTGAATGATGTAGGATTGTGTTTCATTAGTGCAGAGATGTTAATAAAGCCTGCCGTTATTGTTTTACATTAATTGTTTGTTTTTTTCATTTCGATGCCGTAGACTGTGTTGGTGTTTGTTTCTGTTTGTGGATGAGCTGCGAGGCAGGCACAGCGGTCAGATTAGTGCTCGTCTGACATTTTTGTTTTTGAATGAATCTCTCCTTGCTTCTGTACATAATAATGGATATGAACGATCATTTTCGGGATCTTTATGAATTGTCCTGTCGATGTATGTTTGATGTGATGAGTTGGGGATCGTATCATCTGTGGAATGTGTAATGAAAAAAGAAAAGGGGGGGAAAAGTGAAACCCTTTTCCTGGAGGTTAGAGGCCTCCAGAGACTTTCCAGCAGCGAGCTGCACGGATCATCAGTGTTCCTCCTGAAAAGCATCATTTACTGAACTCAGGCTTCTGTTTTTTTTGCCATTCTAAAGGAAGAAACCCAAAGCTGTGATAGACTCAGAAACATACCGTCACAGACGGTGCTCTATCGTGCACTCCGTTTCCTTTGAGCTCACTCTCCTTTTGACTTTCTTTATTTTTTTAATTATTATTATTAAATGAAGATGCTGCAAAAGTGCACCATGACAAAAAAAAAAAAAAAAAAAGCATGTTCTCTTTCACACTCTTTGCATTAACTTAAATGACTGTGTATGTTACTATGGCTGTCGATATGCACGAGATCACAGTTCGCTCCGTACGTGTACACAGTGGCAGTTTCAGTCCTATGAACAGGCAGATTCTCAATAATAACGTGGGTTTTTCATTTCATAACTATCTGCGCTTACCTTTCTTATGTAAACGACAAAAAAAAAAATAATTAGCCGTGTCAAATTTACAAAATGGAGGAATTTGTTCCAAGTTGTTTATTCACAAAGCGCTATGTGATGATAGCATATTTATTATTTCACTGTTGTTGTTTTTTAACAGTTGGGAATCAAATAATCTGAAAACCAAAAAAAAAAAAAGAAGCTAAACGCTCTTTGCTATCACTGATTCAGAGGT